AAATCTGGCACGCCAGACATTCTCATCCGGCACGCGCTGTGGCAACGTCTCCTGAGTAATGTGCAGTACCGGAGTCCAACAGAGAGGCAGCAGCTGCGGGACAGTAGCCTGCGTACTGCGAAGCCTTCCCTGCCCTGACAAATAAGTGATCCTTCCTTAGCGTGAAGAGTCTGCTTAATGCGCTCCGCAGTAGCCCCCGCTACGAGGCTCCGGCGACTTGACAGTACATGAGCGTGCTCCACCAGCCAGCACCCCACCCCCCCCCCAACAGAGAGGCAGCAGCTGCGGGACAGTAGACTGGGCTATATATAAAAATCACTGGCCCCCGAAAGTGTCTCTCGGAATGATTTTGGCCCTTGGACAAATGTAGTTGGTGATCCCTGCTTTAGAGTAACTTATATTTACGTTATAATGCTTTAAAACATTGGCTTGAATGTATACAAACTGAGGATTACAATACACTGTGTTTCATACAATAATAAATGACTCAGTGAGTGATAAACATGAAGTAATTGTTATTTAAATATAGAGGTTTTTTTTGCTGACTTCATTCAGCAAACAGATATACAATCACTTCGACTTCTGAACGCTTATTAAAATCACTCATTATTCAGCATGGATTAACACAGCGACTATGGCAGCGTTTACCCATTACTCTTATTATCAATGCAAAGAAAACACTGCAGATTTCTAAAGGTGAAAGTGTGTTTGGGTATGTACGTATTTTCTTGAATTGACCACATCTGATCTGCTCCACCAGCTGGTGAACAGAAGCCTTTCTTTGACGTTATGCAACTTCACCGACCGTCCATCAATCATTCAAGTGCTACACATACACACACGCAATCCTGCACAGATGCATGCAAAGCTCTCACACCATTCAAATATGCTTGCTAATCTCTCTCACACACACACACACATATCATGTATACATTACTTCTAAGCTAAGAAGTAGCTTCACTTCACAGGTCAAAAGTGCTAAGTCGAAGTACTATTTGTCAGTTACTACAGAAAACCTAAATAATCCTAGGAAATTTTGGAAAGCCATAAAATCGCTATCCACCGGTGAGATCCGAAATGAGCTACCTCCGTGCATTACCACAGCATCTGGCTCTATATCGGACAGGGCCACTATGTTAAATTGTTTTAATGAGCATTTTGTGTCCTGCGGTTCTATGTTTGATTCTGTGACTAACTCTGCTTCTGTGAACACCACAGTCGGTGACTCTGAACAATGTGGTCTGGAAAACCCTTTCAGTTTTACTCCTTTTACTGTAAATGTTGTTCATGAAGCTTTAACCAAGTTAGATCCTAAGAAACCGGCCGGCCCGGACAACGTAGAACCTTTCTTTTTAAAGATAGCTGCAGATTTTATTGCTCCACCTCTCACTACTCTTTTTAACCTCTCCCTCAGCACAAACACAATTCCAAAACTGTGGAAGTCAGCTTATGTCCTGCCTTTGCTGAAAGGAGGGGAGGCAACTATTTTAAATAACTATAGGCCCATCTCTAAATTATCAGTTCTGGCTAAGGTTCTTGAACGCCTAGTGAGTGAGCAGGTAAAGGTGTTTTTATGTACAAATGACATCCTGTCTAAACATCAGTCAGGCTTCAGAAAGCAACATAGCACCATCACTGCCACAATGAAAGTGGTGAATGATGTGGCGAGTATTTTAGATAAAAAGCAGAGTTGTGCAGCTCTATTTATTGACCTTTCCAAAGCGTTTGATACCGTCGATCATCGCATCTTAAAGCAGAGGCTACTCAGTATTGGCATATCCAGCCATGCAGTGGGGTGGTTTGTGAACTACCTCTCTGAAAGGTCCCAATGTGTTCACTTTGATGGGCTGTCTTCTGAGTGGTTGAACATTGCTAATGGTGTTCCTCAAGGTTCTGTTTTAGGTCCACTTTTATTCTCCATCTACATCAATAGTTTAGGTGAAAATGTGGATGAAGCTACTTTGCATTTTTATGCGGATGATACCGTTATGTATTGTGCAGGTCCCTCCATTAAGGAGGCGGTTGTTAAATTACAGGCTGTTTTTAACATTATTCAGACTCAGCTCTCTGAACTAAAGCTTCTTTTAAATGTTGAGAAAACCAAAGTAATGCTCTTTTCAAAAGCTAAAAAGACTCCAGAGACTGCTTTGGATATTGTGACTATGCAAGGACAAGTACTCCAAGTGGTTAGCTATTATAAATACCTTGGTATCTGGCTTGATGATTGTCTTACTTTTAAACTTCACGTCACTAATCTGCTTAAAAAGCTGAGGGTTAGACTCGGTTTCTTTTTCAGAAACAAGTCCTGTTTCTCTTTTGAAGCCAGGAAAAGGCTAGTCACTGTGACCTTTTTACCTGTGCTGGACTATGGTGATTTGATCTACATGAATGCACCTGCCCATTGCCTGGAAAGGTTAGATGCCGCCTATCAAAGTGCTCTGAGATTTGTTACAAACTGTAAAGTACTTACTCATCACTGTACCCTGTATGCCAAGGCAGGTCTGCCTTCACTTACTGTACGGAGGCTCAGTCATTGGTACATGTTCATCTACAAAGCCATGCTGGGTAAACTACCTTCTTATATCTGCTCCTTGATCTCACGGAGAGTGGCAAGTAGCTATTGCCTGAGATCACAGGATGTGTTTTTATTACATGTGCCAAGTGCTAGGACTGTTTTAGGTACTAAAGCTTTTATGTGCGCTGCTCCTCTAGCTTGGAACACCATGCAAAAAATATTGAAACTGAGCATTTTGATTCCCTTGCATCGTTTTAAAGCACGGCTGGATGAAATGTTATTGGATACCTGTAAATGTAAATAGGTTGCTAATGTATACCCCTGTAATTATGTTGTGATGTCCTTTTGTTTTCTGTTTGTTTTTATGTGTAACTAATGTACCGCAGGTCTCCCTTGAAAAAGAGATCGTTGATCTCAATGGGATTTTTTAACCTGGATAAATAAAGGCTACAAACAAACAAACAAACTTCAGGGGACATTACATTGACTAATGGCGCAGTTCCACTACAGCGCGGAGCTCGCTTTAAGCGTGCCGTGTCGTGCCGTACCCGTTTTTGGTTGCGCTTCCACTAGGCCTAGTTACGGCCCGGCACGGCCCGGGGCCACTTTTTTCACCTCTTTTCTGGCCCGACAAAATTGTGGTTCTATCGGGGCCAACAAACAGGGCTGAGTCGGGCTGAGTATGCTAAACTAGAGAGAGGAGCGCTGGCAAGAGGGCTCCAACTACAACAAGATGGACATATTTGACCATGATTTAATTGTAATACACGTTTCAAAATGATGCCGAAGTAACAACATACTGATACCGGTTAGTAAAAACCATGAATTAATGCGTTGTCAAGTCTGCAGACAGACGGCAGGCGAAAAACCTTTTAAAATGCGTGTTTTCTAGATGGAGATTGGCTAAGCTAACTCAGTATATGCCCCGACCGTCCACACTCACAACAACGGCCTATACAGACATAAATAAAGCAGCGACTGTATTCACCATGACACAGGCAGTCTGTGGTGTGTACTTGTTTAACTTTTGTCGAGTTTCTGAACATATATAAGGAGCTGTGAGCTCTGAGTGCTCACAGCTAACGGCTGTGTTGTGTTTTCTGGAGTTCTCATTGAAGATGACGTCACGGCTCCGCCTACACTGCGTTACTATAGTAACTACCCCAGTTCTTAAACTGTAATGGAAGCGCAGCATGAAGTGAGTCGGCCCTGTTAAGGCCCAACGCGGCCAAGCCGTACCGAGCCGTACCGAGCGTGGCCGACCGTGTAGTGGAAATGCGGCATTACATGCATTTCCTGGAGACTTATCCTAACCTTAACCAAGTCTTCACCCTAAAATTAATGATTCCCCTTAAGGGAAGCCAGTCCCCACACGTGACTATGTAATCAGATTTAGGTCACACACACACACACACACACACACACACACACACACAACACACCCACACACACACACACACACACACCACACACACACACACAACACACACACACACACACACACACACACACACACACAACACACACACACACACACACACACACCACACACACACACACACACACACACACACACACACACACACACACACACACACACACCACACACACACACACACACACACACACACACACACACACACACACACACACTCTTAGCTGGTTTGAGCAATGACACATCAAGTCACTTACAGAAAAACGTATATACATGAAAGAAAACTCAGAATTGAAACACCTACAATAAAATATCCCTAACTAGCGTCTGCAGCAACAGATTGTCAATGTCTGCATCTCTGTCTCTCTCTCCTTGACATTTTCCGAGACATTAAAGCTCCACTGAGTCTTGACAGGGAGTGGGATCAGATGATAAAGGTAGTACATGTTCTGTGAGACAGATCCTGACGATTAGACCATAAAATGTAGCAGGAACTCACACTAACTGAAGAAGTGTCTGCTGTATAGGACCATACTTTAAGGTTTGCTATTTATGAGAATCTTTACGGATTTTCACAATTTTTTTGTGTGGACACACTTCTTGTATTTTAATAGATATATTTATTTTATTTTGTCTTTCTGTTGCACATTCCCAACTTTATATTGTTTTATTCATTTAATCTTTATTCTATATATTTATACATCTTAATATTCAACTGTCACAGAACCCAATTCCCTGCTGAACAAAAATAATACAAATAATTCTGATTCTAATTAATTTCACACCAATACCCAAAACACAACATTATTCAAACAAAGCATGGCATTAAACTGAGAATGCACATAAACCTCAACCAGAAGACATATCAAACAATGATATTCATAGCAGTAGCACCTGGAGGATTACCACAAGAGCATAGGTTGTAGGTTTAATATTTTTTTATGCAAGCTTCTTAAGTAACATAAAGCTGTCTTTGGCTATTTCCGTTATTGGTCCCCTCTGTGGGACCAATAACGGTATTCTGATTCAGATTATGTAACTCAGTCTCACCTATAGTGCGCGGCATCATGCCCTGTCGGGGCATCAGGTTGTCGTCCAGACCCTCCAGGCCACCGTACAGCGAGTGAGAGATCCTGCGCTCGTGGTCGTCCAGCGAGGAGTTCATGGTCTGCTGACTGCCCCCCAGAGGGCTCCCCGGGGACTCCTGTGGAGAAATCAAAGGTCAACCTATAATGCAAAATCCACTTCTTCATGTCTCTTCTACATCAACATGTGTCCCCTCTTCTTCATGTCTCTTCTACATCAACATGTGTCCCCTCTGTGGAAAGACATTCTGAAAGTTTCAGGAACAAAGATTCTCTCTCTTTTTGTCCTGATCCATTTATATAAAAACCTGTCTGAAAATGAGCTGATCAGATTTTGGCCACTTTATGATGTCATAACGATGTTTTGGCTTGTGTAACCATTAGCCAATCAGCAACCAAGGTAACCCCCCCCCCACCATATCACCTGAATCTCCTCCTAGAGCACCATAGTGTTCTTTTTAACCAAATATCTCTCAGAGGGGCGTGGGGAGTGGCTCCTTATTTTCATCTGAAGTAACAGACAGAGAATCAGCACTTTGGAAACAGGGCTGAAACAGAGGGGATTATGGGTAATGCTGCAATGACCTGTTTGGTGTTTCAGACAAACACTTCAGAGACATGTTTTGTATATATCTGAGACCTGTAATATATTGATGAAAAACAGTATAATAGGGGACCTTTAATATTCAAGGCTTTTATTGTCATGTGTACGTAGCTACAGTGTAGATATGTCAATGGAAATCTTAGGTCACAGGCTCCTCCTCCAACAGTGCAACACAATAAAACCGATAAAATAGTGCAAGTAAATACAAATAAAATAGAATAGAATAGTGCAAGGAGAGAGTATATACAAGTAATTGGAATATGATATATTAGATAAATAATATGAAGTTGCAAACAGATGAATGTTGTTTCAAAGGTTCAGGTGTTTAACAGTCTTAGAATAATTATTCAGGTTTTCCACACCTTGTTAAGCAGCAAATTCAAGGACTTTTCAAGAACAATCCAGGCCTTAAATTCAAGGAAACAACCAGGCAGAGTTTGAGACACAGATACAGGTTAACATGTTTTTTTACAGAAGCTCAAAGTAATCCAAACAAAAAGCTTCAATTTATTTTTCTGCACTTAAACGACCCATGCCTATTCATATCCTAAATACACATGGGGTTAAATCAAGGTCTTGCATAATCCTTTATTTTATAAATAGACATGGGTTTAGTAAGTCCTTGATTTTATCCTTCAAATGGATAACCCTTTGAGGATTTCAAAGACCCGTGGGAACATGTTTTTGGATTTACTCAATTGTTATTCTGATAAAGTCATGTTCGTGGAAAAGACCATTCTTCCTTTGGCTGTGTGTGTTTGGGTTATTCTGTCGCACATTTTGACGAGTTCAATCATTTGTAAAGTCCATGCAGGCATAAGCCTATGAATAATCCTGGGTAAAATATTCATTATTGATTCATTTCTGTGCTATCCTCATATTGTTCCAGTTACTGCAAAGTCAAAACAGGGAAAATGTCAATGGTTATTAAAAAAATACATTTAGAATCTTCTACATTTATCCCTTTAAAAATATATTTTATTGGATATTTTAATGTTTATAGAAATATCTTTATTATTTTGTTCTAATACAATACTTTTATTTATTTATTTATGTATTTTTGATTTTATTTTATTCCAAAATAAAATGTCCCAAACCCAATTTCCCCTGAGATATGTAAATTGTTCTGAATCTGATTTAGATTCTGATAGCCATCCGCTAACAGCAGCTATCCACGCTAACGCTAGCTGTGTGATAACCATGATGAATGGGCATGGATTTCCAATAGGCTGTTAAACCCCAGGCTGTTAGCGAGCTAGCTTCTGCCCCGCGGGGGGTTGTTAGCTTGCTAGCATCTTGACATTTCCCCCCAGGACCCATGATGACACTTTCTTGTTTGCTGGACAAATGGACCGTTTGCTGGCCCTGTCACCCACACACCCACACACACACACACACACACACACACTGTCGGAGAATGTGTGTGTGTGTGTGTGTGTGTGTGTGTGTGTGTGTATGTGTAGTGTGTGTGTGTGTGTGTGTGTGACTGTGTGTGACTGTGTGTGACTGTGTGTGTGACTGTGTGTGTGTGTGTGTTTGTGGGTGTGACTGAGTGTGACTGAGTGTGTGTGTGTGTGTGTGTGTGTGTGTGTGTGACTGTGTGTGTGACTGTGTGTGTGACTGTGTGTGTGTGTGTATGTGTGTGTATGTGACTGAGTGTGAGTGTGAGTGTGAGTGTGTGTGTGTGTGTGTGTGTGTGTGTGTGTGTGTGTGTGGTGTGTGTGTGTGTGTGACTGTGTGTGTGACTGTGTGTGACTGTGTTGTGACTGTGTGTGTGTGTGTGTATGTGTGTGTATGTGACTGAGTGTGAGTGTGTGTGTGTGTGTGTGTGTGTGTGTGTGTGTGTCTGACCAATCCAATTACTATGTATCACTTGCTATTATATTTTATTCAATTTGACATGTGTTTGATATTCATAGGAGTCTTAATTTTTTATCTAATACCAGCAATCACATCAGGACGCCAGTATTGTTTTTATGTGTGTGTGTGCGTGTGCGTGTGCGTGTGTGTGTGTGTGTGTGTGTGTGCGTGTGTGTGCGTGTGCGTGTGTGTGTGTCTACACCCCCACTGTGTGTCCTTTGGATAGTTGACTGTATTGACGTGCTGTGGTCTATGCATTTATCACTGAAGGCGATGAACGCTCTTGCCGTGAAGATAACCATTGCCTGCATTGCAAAACGAGCGATAACACTATCACACAGGAGTCAATACCGGAGCCAAATTACCCCGATCAATTACTGTAACGAGGCCGGGACGGGATTGGATTGTGGCAGAAGGTCTCTGCGATGCTCTCAGCTCACTAAAAGTGCTGTAATAACCACTGGCGTATAGATTGTGATGTAAACAAATAGGTCCAGTTTACAGACGATGGAGTTCAGACTGGAGTTCTGCTCATTTTAATCTCTACACTAGAAATATGTTGACTTCTTAAACAACCACTAATTACTGATAGAATATCCATTAGTACCAATATCGCAGAGCCAAATGTTAAGTTTCAAAATGGTGATGGTGCTACAGTTAAAAGTATTACATTGCTGCTGTGGAGGCAATTGTAATTAATAGTTTTGGGTATACTTATCTATAAAAAACATGAATCAAAGAGAACTCTAAGGTCATGCCTTCAGTGCTGATTATGGAAATGTGGATATTGTATGTTTAATACAACTGTACATATATGTTGGTCTGCAAAAGCTAAAATCCTTGTGCTACAGTAGTTTCTCTCCCACACACTGATAAACACAACTTTCTGATCACACCAACTTCTCATGCAGAATTCTATATAATGTAATGTATATGTTGTCATTGGTTGCAGGTGAAAAACAATCATGCCGGACCAATCAAACGGTTATATCTTACAGAGCCAATCGAACGTACACACAGATGCAAATAAATCCTCCCTCTCACGAACCAAACTCATTTCTAAAAGGTGGCCATATGGTGCTGTGACTGTTGGCATGCGGCCGCTCTTGACTTTCAATGAGAGTTTTAATGAATTGGCCCGGCTGAGGAGCCGAGGTGAAACGTCTCGGTAACAGCTGAGGGGATCCGCCATACTGAGGGGCGCATCGACAAATCACACCACGGCTCATCGCATATTCAGCTTGATCATAGTTTCAGGAAGGTCTCGATCAGCTGCTCGGTTCAGTAGGGCTTGAGATTTATGCAAAGGCAAGGATTGATTTGAGATCGGCTGTCAGGGGACGGAGACATGGAGAGGAAAGTAAACACAGGATGACGTGACGCCATATGTCAGCGGGTACGACGATTTCGACGCTTTCATCCCACAGTAATTATTTAATTTGAGCAAATATATGATGGACAGCTGGGTATAACGTAGATATTAAGAATCTGAATGACACAAAAGGGACTTTCCTAATCAGCTCTGAGCAGTGTTTTTGAGTGAGAGTGTGTTACATTGTTGTTTTCAACCTCTCAAAGTGCCTTGGACAGTATGTCTTATAAACAGCCAGGTGCTTGGACAGCCTCAGGCCAAGCCTCGGGCTCTGAGAGTGAAGCAGAGATTGACACGACTCCCGCCGCTCAAATCTTTATTCCTGCCATGCTGCGTGTAAAGTAAGGTCTCAGTGCCTCGACATGGCCAAGTATCTGTTTCCAAACGGAGCCACAGAACAGATCCTTGAAAATAAAACGCAGACGTGCATAAGCGGGATGAACAAGCGCTACACACTCGTACACACAAACACACCTCCAGGCTTAGCCCCTGCTTTCAATTACCAGAGGGGCCCGAGGGGAAATCAAAAACTTTGACACACCAGGTTGGAAAAGGAGAGCGGGGAAGCCAAGCTTTGCCGGAGGCGTTACACGTGCACACACTCACAGCAGCTCACGCACTCAGCCTCGGCTTTCAAGCAGGCGACAGGCCAAGGTGCACAGAGAATGTAAAAACATGACATTGAGGGGAGGAAAAAGTTGTGTAGCTTAGTACTCCGTTTTTTCTCTTCTCCTCCAGCTGCCTGAAGGGAGGTGAGCAGACGAGGGAGGGGAGGGTGAACTACTTTGACCTGAATTCGTACTTTTTATTTTATTTAACAATTCATCGCTGCTCTTCAGGGTGTTCCCAGAGTTTCGCTTTGGGTTGCTTTAAATATTTATCACAGGGAAGGGTTTTAGCCTAATAACTCAAAATCTACAAAAGTGTCTTTTTTCAGAACAACAGTGTCAGATTTACCAGAAAAACACAATCAATATGACAACCACTTTGATATTAAAGGGTATCTTAGACAAACTATTTCAATTATAAACAGTTATTTAGTTAAATAAGTGGATCTAGTATGGCAATAGAGTGGTGCAATGATTTGTGTAGGGTGACCCTGAAGTTAGCATCGCAAGGGGTCCTTCAACAAAAAGCCAATGGGATTTTTCTATTGGCTTTCTGAATATTTCTAAAAAAGTAATATCTGTGGCAAACACACATTTATGATACTTTCACGTTTTGTTCAGCAGTCTAATCTCCACATATTAACACCACTTTTTTTTAACATTTAGAGCATGAATGCAGACGCAAGTAGTACAAAGCTAACGTTGGGCTATAAAGGAACTCCAGCACGGTCACATGACTTCACGTCAGCATGGCTAAGCTAAAAGGCGGCTAATAAAACTGAATAAGAAAAAAAACATTGACTTCCAGACCACAATATACTGAACAAAGAATAGACTATGATATTGAAAGTCTCCATATCCTCCCTATCAAAGTGTTGAAGATTACAGAAAAAAACAAACTTGACTAAAACTGTGAATGAAAGCAATCTCTGCTTTACTCAATAAATAATGTCCACATGTCCATGCAGGGCCTTTACTGGTTTCGGGGGTCAACAGCAGCTCTGAGGTGTGAACGTGTGAAGCAAAAGGTCACATGTGCTCATGGTAAATAAAACAATCAGTCATTAATGTTATATGTGCCACATTATTACCATGCTGACCAATCCAATTACTATTTATCACTTGCTATTATATTATTCAATTCGACATGGGTTTAATATTCATAGCCGTCTTAATGTTTGATCTAATACCAGCAATCACTGCATGACTCCAGTATTGCGTGCGTGCGTGCGTGCATATGTCTTGGCAAAATGAAGTACTGTAGCAGGAGCTAGTAGAGGTTGACTCATGGGGCTTATAATTCATTCTTACTATACACACGTCAACGATTTACTGCAGTAAGGACTAATAGTGTGTTATTATAGCCCATGCGGAAATATAAGTTATCATTGTGTGTGTTCAGTTAACTGAAGCAGGGTTCGAGTTATGTGGGAGCCAATGGGAGCTGAGCTCCCTTAAGGAGGGTCTGAGCTCCCACGGACGCAGTGAAATCATACATCTGTGGGGGTCGCTAATACATTACCAACAACCATTATTGTAATCACAAATAACGCATGTGTCAATGTAATGAATATTATTACGTTAACGAGGTAAATAGGATAAAAGAAAAACATGTTTTCCAAAAGAACTACGCATCTCTTGAATGACAATATGCCTGCACTGCACCTCCAAGGTGCGCAATACATTATTGCGCAATCTATGCCTGTGAGCGTGCTGCGCGAGCCGAGATGATGTGTGTGTGCATAGTTGAACCTTTTCATATTTAAGTTGTAGCAAGTAGAGGGCTGCTGCTGTGTGTGTGTGTGTGTGTGTGTGTGTGTGTGTGTGTGTGTGTGTGTGTGTGTGTGTGTGTGTGTGTGTGTGTGCAAGCACGCGTTAGTTTTAAAGACCCCCATAGAGCTCAGTTTATAACTCGAACCCTGAACTGAAGTATATATTGATGCAGCTTTAATAATGCAGGCTTCATCATAATGTTTCATTGGTGGGTGGAAAGTCTTATTAGTGTAAAATAATCTAACCTGCATTATGGAGTATCGTATTGATCTAAAAGACGAATGCTTACATATCAACACCTCTCTTTCTCCATCCAATCTGTCTTGTGTTTGTTCCTCACCTCGTTTCTTTTGGCCACTCGTCTGGCCACAATGAGCTGGATCGTCCCGCGTTTGTTTCCCTCCGTTGACATGGATTTCCGCAGCGTTTCCATGGCGTCTTGGTTGGTTTTGGCCAATAGCGACTCTCCGTTGACGGCAATCAGCTGGTCGTTCACTCTAAGACGCGCGTCCTGTTGGTGCACAAGAAATCACTCATAAGTAAAGTGCATTTTTTTGGTGTTTCAACTCTTGACGAGACCCTATTATGCCTTTGGGGGTTTTCTGTTTCCTGTAGTGTGTTACAGTATAGAGGTTTGGGTGCATGTCAATGGTCTGCAAAGGCAAAAATCCTAAAGTTGGTGTGTGGGAGTTTCTCTCTGCTCCAACACATTGCACGTGATAGGCTAAGGGGCGGGACATCTCAAATTGGGTTGACCAATCACAACAGAGCCGGCCAGCTAACCACACCTGAACATCAGCAGGAGAGGACTCTTTAAGTAGAGACACTAGATAACTGATATACACCTGAACATCAGCAGGAGAGGACTCTTTAAAGTAGAGACACTACATACTGATATACACCTGAACATCAGCAGGAGAGGACTCTTTAAAGTAGAGACATTACATACTGATATACACCTGAACATCAGCAGGAGAGGCACTCTTTAAAGTAGAGACACTACACACTGATATACACCTGAACATCAGAGGAGAGGACTCTTTAAAGTAGAGACACTACATACTGATATACACCTGAACATCAGCATGAGAGGACTCTTTAAAGTAGAGACACTACATACTGATATACACCTGAACATCAGCATGAGAGGACTCTTTAAAGTAGAGACACTACACACTGATATACACCTGAACATCAGCAGGAGAGGACTCTTTAAAGTAGAGACACTACACACTGATATACACCTGA